GTGGATGTATGGATGGATGGATGGATGGATGGATGGATGGATGGATGGATGGATGGATGGATGGATAATAGGAAAGAGGGAGAAATGAAGGAAAGGAAGGATGGATGATTAGATGAATGGATGGGTGGATAAATAGATGGAATTACAAATGGGATTTGAAGAAACATTCAAGACTTCCCTTCTTGACTGAAGTAAATATTTTTGCCATATTTTCTTCAAAGCAATATTTTAAATTAACATGAAAGTAATGTGTCATATTCTTTCGAAAACAAAAAGACAGCCAAGTGCACAAAGTGAAATAATACAAGCATGCTTAATGAAATTAAACCATTAAAAGTAACAATGTTAAGGGGGAAAAAACCAGTTTATATGGTGTCATGAACCTGACAGTATAATATTGTATTCCATAAGTTTCAGTATGTTGTATTTTTGTTTTTATTCATCTCTTACATATTTTCTAATTTCCCTTGTAATTTCTTCTTTGATCTGCTGGTTGTTTAAAAATGTGTTGTTTAATCTCCATAAATTTGTGAATTTCCACTTTTACTTCTATTATGGACTTCAAACTATCCCATTGTGGTTAGAAAAGATTCTTTACATCTCCACCTAAGCCCCTTTGGTTGTTGATGTTACAGAATCACATCTTATGAATTCTGCATTCAAAAAACATATATTAATGATTTTTTAAAATGCACTGACCTCTTAAAGTATATTTAAAAAATTAGAGTTACAAACTAAAGTTGCAATAGTACTAGACTTTTGACTAATAATTTCTTTTTTGTTTTTTAACAAAATGTATTAGTGATAAATAATGTTGAAAACAAAAAGTAGAGTTACAAACTGTTGTTTTAATAATACTCACTTTTATAATTTTCCCATGTATTTCCCTTCATTGAGATTTTTATTTTTTATATGGCTTTCAGTTGTCTTTTATTTCACCCTGCAGGATTCTCTTGAGCATTTCCTACAGAGCAGATCTAGTGGTAACCACCTCCCTCAGCTTTAGTTTATGGAGGAATATCTTAATTTCTCACTTATAAAGAACAGTTTGCCAAATATTGGATTCTTGGTTGACAGCTTCATCTTTTTTTTTTTTTTTTTTTAACATTTCATATATATTGGCCCACTGACTTCTGTCCTCCAGAGTTTCTGTTGAGAAGTCTACAAATAATTTTATTGAGGTTCACCTATTTGTGATGAGTCACATCTCTCTTACTGCTTTCAAGGTTATCATTTTGTCATTGAAAGTTTGATTATAATTTTTCTTGGTATAGGTCTCCTTGATTTCATCCAACTTGAAATTCCTTGAGAGGATCTTGTATATTTATATGAATGTCTTTCGTCAAATTTAGAAAGTTTTCAATGATTATTTCTTCAAATGTACTCTTTCTGGGACTCCCATGATGCATATAATAGTCCACCTGATGGTCTTCCACAGTCCCTTAGACTCAGGTTCACTTTACTTCAATCTTTTCTTTCTGTTCCTCAGACTGCATAAGTTTTGATGTCATATCTTCAAGTTTGCTGATTCTTCTGTCTGCTCAAATCATCCTTTTAATCCCTTTGGTGATTTTTTAAATTTTATGATTTATTTCATTACTGTGCTTTTCAGCTCCATAATTTCTTCTTTATTTTTTTAGGTTTTCTATCTCTTCATTTATATTTCCATGTTGTCCCCACATTGCTTTTGTTTGTTTTTTTAGTTTCTCTCCATCTTCCTTTAACTCTTTAAGCATCCTTAACATAGCTGTTTTAATGTCTTTGTCTAGTATACCTGCTACAAGTCTATTTTAGGGACAGTTTTTGTTGATTCTTTTCCCTTTTAATGAGCCATACTTTTCTGTGAATTTTTGTTCAAAACTGCACATTTGACCCCAGAGTTTGCTGGGTTTGGTTATTGTTTTTTGCTTGTTTGTTTATTGTTGTAGGCTGTCTTTGTATTAAGGTTTAACTTGAAGTGTAAACTTAAGATCCCCTCAAGTCTCTCCCGAGCCTTTTCCAGGGCAAGCACTGTCACTTTTAAGTTACCCCCATACCCACAGTTGTTCTGAGTGTTCTACTTGTTAATATCTGGATCCCAAAAGGGGAAAAACGAGAAAAGTAAAGAAGGGAGCAATAAGAAGGGTGCTGGCTCTTTTTTAAAAATATTTTTTAAAGATTTTAAATTGACTTTTAGAAAGAGGAAGGGAGTGGGGGGGACATAAAGAAAGAAGAACATTGATTAGCTGCCTCCTGCACACCCTCTGCTGGGAATCGAGCCCACAACCTGGGTATGTGCCCTGACCGGGAATTGAACCAGCAACCTTTCAATGCATAGGTTGACACCCAACCAACTCAGCTACACAGGCCAGGGCAAAAGGGTGCTGGATTTTTAAATCCCTTGGAAGTCAGTCAACCAAAGGGGGAGAGACTTGCAGTCATGGGAGAGGTGCAACAACAATGGCTGCCTGTCTTTCTCTCTGCACCTCTGTGATCAGAAGCATCAATCAGTGATCAGGACACATGCACAGATGCCTGTCACATGGCTGATGGGTGAAGGATAGGTAGCTACTACTGTAATAAAAGCTGAAGTTGACTGAAATGAACCACAATTTATAGTCTAAGCCTTCCCTGGGAAGTTGCAAGCCTTTAATAGAGTCCAGAGTTCCAAAAATGTTATTTTAGACCAGCAATTTTCAACCTTCATGGTTGAAATTTTCAAATTTCATGGCACACATAAACTGATTACTAAAATTTTGTGGCACACCAAAAAATGTTATTTTTTGCCGATCTGACAAAAACTATATGTATAATTTTGATTCATTCACACTAGATGACTATTGTGTTAGCTGTGATCATTTTTTTAAGTTAACAATCTAAGGAAAAAGAAGTCAGGTAGTGTATGTTTTAAAAAAAATTATTGCACCAGTGTGCCTGCCATGGCACAGCATTTGAAAATCACTGTCTTAGATTTTGCCAATGCAATTGTTGTCTTGGTGGGGAGACAGATTCCTGATACTTTACTGCCATCTTCTCAGAGTTCTCTCTGTAAATAAATTTTATATATTGAATTACTCTAAATTTTCCATTCTTTCACTAATGACTTTCTATAAGGTAGGAGAAAGCTTTGGAATTTTATCTTTATTTGATTTGAGAAAGATTACTGAGCACCAATTAAAGATCTCAAGCAGAGTAAACAAACAATAGCAACACTATTTAAAGGAAGGTTGGGAAAATTTGGGAAGTCATGTTCCTTTACTTTATCTAGAATTCTGTTATTTAGTATTGGCCACACTTTCTGATAGGCAGTCATGTTTGGTTTTTTATTTACAAAAAAATTTAAATAAAACAAATGAATCAGTGCTTATTAAATGAGGTTTAGTAGACCAAAAAAATGTTTAAAACATAGAGGCAAAGGGTGAAAATAACAAAGACATAAATTGGTAATGAAATCATTAGGAATCACTGTTCTAAAACTTCTGTGAGTCTTAATGAATTTTCTATTTTAAAAATACCAATTGTATTTTGCACTGAGATACAATTACCTGCTGCACATAATTTAAGAAGATCTCTAAATGTCTGAGTAGTCATAAAAGATTACAGAATATTAGAACAAGATAAGACTTTATAGATTACTTTTATTTGGTTGATTGACTTTAAGTTGGAAAGTTATTACTTTAGAAATTCAGAAACACCTTTCTAAAATTGAGTATTACGGTGGAAAGCATCTCAGTAAAAATTAGAGAAAATTGTATTGGTCTCTGGCATGGTGGAATATTTTTATATGCTGTGTGTTCCCTTTAGATAGTGATAAACCTATTTGAGGATCATTTAGCTTCCATCTGTTATACTTTTAAAGAGCATTGCCATTTAAAACAGATTTTGAAAAATTATCTTTTGAACTCATGCAGACTTTCTGAAAATGCCTGTGTAGCCCACCAAAAGAAGTCTAATACTCTTTAACTTAAAATTTCCAAAGGAAAATGAGAGAGGAGCTTTCAAAAGTGATCAATTTTTCCATAGGTAAAAGGGCCAGTTGTTTAATGAGAAAAATCAAAGTTAAGTTTATATATAGAGGTTTAGATTTTCTACAGTACTTTTAGAATAAAGGCTATTGGTCTTGCTTATTGAATGATAAATTAAAACACAATTATAAATATATTGTTAATCATTAATAATATGGATTTTTTATTCCCAAAAGAAATAACACCTAACTTCTAAAATGGGTGGTATGGAAAAGAAAACATTGCGCAGGAAGTAAAAAAGATCCAACAGTATTTAAAATATAAGGATCCCTTCTAATGAAAATGCAGACTTGACAGTGCACACTTGAATGTTCTGACAGCTGTGTTGTTCTCTCAGCTTCTACAGATGACAGTGCGGCCGAGAAGAAAGGGGGGGCCCTGCACGCTGGCCTCATTGTTGGGATTCTCATCCTGGTCCTCGTTATAGCTGCAGCCATTCTCGTGACAGTCTACATGTATCACCATCCAACGTCAGCAGCCAGCATCTTCTTTATTGAGGTAAGTTTCAAATATTACAAATTAAAAACCATGCTAATTGACAAACTCTTTCCATTTGCCAGTGTCACCTATATTTAATATTTAGCACAGTATTTCTCCGTTTTGCAGTTGGGGGCTGGCTGGTTTCTCACACACACACACACACACACACACACACACACACACACACACATTGATAGATTGCTTTCATGTGATGAGTTCAGTTACCTCATCTCAGGAGCTTTTAAAGAAATAACCTATCTTGCCTTTTACAGATCTAAAGGAAAATAGAAACCATATTTTTTGTCCTTTTATACCAAATATGTTAACCAGCTGCTCTCCTGATTCTAGAAGGAAGTACAGCATATGCTGGAGGCTATAGAACTTTACTTAAATCAATTAATCAATAGATACTAATTCAGCACCAGCTGGATGCAGATTACTATATGGTGAGCCTAGCAAAATGCTCACAAACCTATTTAGGAAAAATAATAGCTTTCACTATTAAAAAAAACAGATATAACAATACAATAATAGTATGGACCATCACCACTTTGTGTAATGTGTGTATATTTATACTTTTACACACACACACACACACACACACACACACACACACTCTCATACAAATACAAAAAAAGCCCCATGCTGAATCAGTGTGTGTTTCCATGTACAGAATGTAGAGGTGGAGCCAGTGCCCTGGAGCAATCAGGTGAAGGACCTGGGTCTGTGTATAAAGGGCCAGAGCCAAACCCTGGTGACCAGAGGCCTGAACTGGGAAGCCTGGAGGCCACAGTATAAAGTCAGGGTGACCAAGTCACCTCTCCCCAGATGATGGGGCTTCCTGGGCCCCCTCTATGTGCCGCTTTCATTCCAACATCTTATTGGGGTCGCTGATCTTCCAACACCAAATAAATACTAGAGCAGTAAAGGAAATCTTTCCCTTTGGAGTTTCAAACATGTAAAGTTTAAATATTTTTCAATTCATTGATTGATAAACAGAAAGATTGCTTAGAATTTTGTTCACTTGTTGAGTAAGAAATTATAATGCCTTTTATTTATTTTTTAAATTTATCTTTATTATTGAAAATATTACATATGTCTCCTTTAGTACAAAGTTAAAATTATCTTTGTCACCTTTAAAAAGGAGAGGTGAATGAAAGTCAATTAAGTAATTGCTCGGAAACCCTATATGGCTCTCTACTCTCTGTAGAATCAAGTGCAGCTTCTTAAGGTCGGCATTCAAGGTCTTGGAAAACTGGATCTTGTCCATCTTGTCGGTCTTTATCCCATGGCTCCCCAACTTGAAGTTGGCACTGCCATCAAGTTTCACTCTTTGCTCTTCTCCACGCACACCCCAAGTTTTCCATGCTATGAAGGCATTGCTTACTCTGCTTTCTCCACCAAGAAAGACCCCCAATTCTACCTCAGTCCTTGTGTTCAAGATCCTAACAGCCTTCAATGCCATGCATCCTGTAAGCTTCCCTAGACCATCTCTCTTTCTGGACAGCTCAACATAATATTAATTTCTCCTCTGAGATTCCATCCATTGTAATGTAATCATATCTTTCTCCTGCATTTACCTTTCTGTTCTGCATTAAAGTTAAATATGCACATGATTTATTACACCCTACAGATTTTTAAGCTCTGTAGGATTTGGAGTAAATCACTTTAAGTTTCTTTCCAATAAGAGGTATCCCATTGGTATTTTGTAGGGATAAAAGATAATAAATATACTAGAACATGTCAAGATTCCACTAAAATTTTACGTATGACGTATTCTAGAAATGGCATCTTGTTTAATATCATAAGAATGGAGAAGTTATCAGGCACTGCGCTAAGCTGGAAAGCTGTTAAGTGTTGTTAATGTGCTGGCTTTTCAAGGAAGAAAGTAGAAAGCTTCCCCGAGGTCATGAAAGCGTGCCTCAAAGAGCTGACAAGAAACACGCTGTAAAGCTTCAGCAAGTAGCCAGACAACAGGCTGCCTCTGTAACCCCTCAGATGTTTAAGCCTTTTAATAGGCTGTGCAGTTTACTTTTGACATCGTGAAAAAGAAGATACTGTGAAATATCTGATGTTGATGGTATTAGTGGGAAATTGCACAGCTCAAAAGGCCTACTTCACACCCGTTCACAGCAGCCCTGGGTGAATACAAAATAAGACTGTAGAATAGTGAAAGTATTTGGGGGGTATTTGCCTTTTTAAATCAGTCTTACTGTTTTATAATCAGAGCCTATATGTCCGGTGTTTGTGTGAATATGTACACATACATGTATTTATAGACTGTTGGGAGCTAGAAGGAATCCTAAAGATAATTTGGTTCCCTTCCCTCATAACACAAAGGGAGAGACCAAGGCTCAGAGTGGTGGAAGACCTCCAAGGTCAGAGAGCCATAGTTCTAAGAACTCCTCTTTCCACACTCAAGTGAGGCAGAATCATTCTGCAGGTTCCAGCTTCTCTCCTTTGGCCTTTTTCCTTCCAACTGAGTCAATTATCAGTTTCTACTTAAATCACTACCTCTCTGAGGGCCTGCTGTCTTCGTGCAGCTCACAGTGGCTGCCCGGCAGATGATTTTTGAAGGTGATAATTATAACTTTACTATTATTAACGCTGACCCATGTTTGCAAAACAAAATACAGATCCATGATGACTGCATAGTGAAATACCAGATCTATGAATTCGAAGGCTTTGAATTACCAATTAAATTGGAGTTATTGCCGCATAAAGAGATGGAATTTACCAATATCCTGTAAATTGCTTTTTTATTCCATATCATGAGCTAAATTTTAAATGAAATTGATGCACTTTTTTGCATTATGAAAGTAATACCTGTTCGTTATAGAAAATTTGCAGAAACGTAAAAGGAAGGAAAAGGAGTCATTTATAGTCTCAACATGCAGAAACAATCACTCTTACTGTTTTAATTTATTTTCTTCTGGAGTTCTCATATGCGTAATTTGATATTTGCCCATCTCATATAATTGTGATTTCACTGAAATGCAAATTGACATTCTCTTCTTATCAAATAAAATTTTCCTGTTTTACTAAGTCTTTGTAAATATCATTTTAGTGGCTGTATACTATTTCATTCAGCATTCATTCAGTAACTTTATATTGATTGCCTTCTATGCTAAGTGGCAATTCAGAAAGCACTGAGGGCTTCACATGGCCTGTAACTCAAAAAGAACCTTATTTCAGCCAATTTAGGACTGCATATTAGTTTCCTGTTGCTGCTATAACAAATTACCAAAAACCTAGCAGCTTGAAGCATCACACAATTATCTTACAGCTCTGGAAATCAGAAGTCTGAAATTAGTCTCACTGGGCCAAGCCAAGGTGTCAGCAGGGCTGATTTCTTCTAAAGGCTTCAGGCCCTGGCTGCCGTTTTCAGCTGCTGGAGGCGGCATGCATTCCTTGGCTGCTGGCCCCTTTCCATCATTCCAGCCTCTGCTCCTGTCGTCACATTTTTTACTGCTAACTCTGAGCCCCCGCCTTCTTCTTGTGAAGCCCCTTGTGATTACCTTGGACCCACATGGACAATCCAGGGTAATCTCCCCATCCTGAGGTCCTTAATCTAAACACATCTACAAGGTCTGTTTTGCCATATAAAGTACCACTGACAGATTTTGGCAATTCTGACATGGACATTTTGGGGGGCCATTATTTTGCCTACCACAGACTGCATGAAATGCAGTAGGCATCACACACTACCCGTTAAACTATGACCCCCCCTTGACCATAAGAGACATCCCAGTTTCAGTGATACTGAAGAGTGACTCAATGTGTATCTCATGTGTTTCACAATGAAATTCAGACTTCTTTGAGCACTTGTAGGAATTAGCTCCTGTGCTAGACACTGTGTAAACTGTGACAAAATTTAATGGCTTTGCATTATAATGATCATGCATATAGCAGAGTTCATGCAACCAATTTAGTACTGTGGACCACTGGGACTCTTCTCATTTTTTGCTATTATAATTAGCCCCATTATGAATATAATAATGGTAACAGTGAACATTTATTAAATTCTCTAATGGAAGTGATTTATGCTTATTACCTCATTTAATTGTCACAAGACTTTATGAGGCACTAAGATTATCTCCCTGTCATAAATGAGGAAACTGAGGCACGGGATTTAAATAACTTGCTCAGCATCAAGCAGTTAGTCAGTGGTGGAGTTGGGATTTGAGCCGAGGTTCTCTGGAGACCATATCCTTAACCATTAGGCAATGCTGCCTCACAGTGTATAGAAATACAGGAAGATGTATATCTATGGGCAGACATTGTGTGCTGAGAATAGATTCCCAAAAATAGAATCAAAGGAAATAAAGAGTTTAAAGGTACTTAGTATTGCCAAAATCATTGCTCAAAAACATATACCAATTTACATCGCTTCTGTTGTTATTGTTTGTTTATAGTGATGATAAAGACAGTGGCTATTATTTATGTTTTATTCTTGCAGAGAATATACACCAATTATTATAGATTTTGTGGATACAAACGCTCTTCCTCATATGAAGTGTTTACATGGCCTGTAGCTTTTAAACTTCTTGTTTGTAGGAAGGAAATAGGATGAAGTGGGAATTAAAATCTAATTTGAATTATATTGTTATGTGGAGTTCTAAGTAAATGTGACTAAATGCAATGAAATGACTAAAATCAAAAGTAGATGAGAATGACGAGGTCTTGATAATAAAGCAAATCATCACCCCCTATATTTTATAATTAAACAATAATTGGATTAACTATTTCCATTCCATGTGCTCATGGAATGAGGATCAGGTAGAAGAGTTCCATTTTCCTAAGAAATTCAGTCCTTATCTGGCATTATAGTCTGTTTTCATGAACTTATCTTCTGTATTCTTCCATTGTCCTCTTAGATCTTACATTGAGCATTTTCTTTGACTTTTTACTAAATGGCTTTCACTTTATGTTTACCTGTGTGGCTTTTCTCAGTAATTTCATTAAAAGACATTTGATTTTGACCAAAATTCATCCTGTTATTCAAGGGTGACTAGCAT